AATAATTTCTGAATATTTTTTAAAACGTAACTCGCTATGGAAAAAAATATTGTTTTATACACGACGATAAAATTGCATTATCGTCTTCGGAAATTAATTCAAATTCAAATTAATCTTTTCGGTCGACGATAAAATCCCATTTTATCGTCTTGTATAAAATATAACTATTAAACCATTTTTTTCTTTGTTCTTTATGATTTTTTGCTTCCGACGACGGGAAGAGATATATTTCCCAAAACTTTAAGCATTTTTGTGTTCGTTAGGCAAATTTGTTTTATTAGTAAACCACTGGTGACAATTAAGCCGGAACCCCATTAGGCCACACGCCGGGCCACGCCACGCCATGCCACCCCACGTCATGAAGATCTGTGCGTATGTTTTTCCATTTAATTACATGTGTTGCATACACACTAGGGCTCACCTCATCCCACGCCACGCCATCCCACGCTATCAAACGTGCGATGTGCGATTCGTCTGTCCCAGATCTCACGTGTACACTCTTTCCCACGTCGCAACACGTGGGCTCACGTGGGATAGCGTGGCGTGGCGTGGCGTGTGGCCTAATGAGGTCCCGGCATTCGTCTCCGTTGGATTAACGCAGCGGTGTTTACAAGAAATAACTATTTTATTTTGTAGATTTTCTGTGCAAGTGGCAAAATACTCATAGGACTTTTTTGAAGATATATTCCATACATTACAGCTCTCTGTTTAAAAGTAAATTTTCTCGTTTTCTACATTTACATAGTAATATTATCCAGTATTTATTAAATGAATCAAATAAATATTGGAAACTTTACGTCACAATATCAAATTTTGTGTCGAAAACATATTCATTGCAGGGCATCAATAGATAGACCTTAATAAAATAGTTATTTATACATTTTTATTAAAAAAAACTCGCCGCTAGATGATAACACGCTACCCTTTTAAAAACATATGACCATTAATTATCTTTCATACCTTGTAATTACTCTAAATCTAGAACGTCCGCCAAAAATGTTGGGGTTAAGGTTTTTCACCTTCCTTGCTTATTAATTGAATTTATATCTAGTTAATTTATCTCCAGGAACATTAATAATCTAGGATCAACAAACAATTAATTTGCATTTAAAAAACAATTAAGCATATGCAAGGAAAAGTTGCTTATGTATCTAATTAATTAATTTATTTAACGATAATTTAAATTTAGTACCTCGATAGAGAGCCTCATGATCTGGAATGAAATCGATAGACGATTGGATAATAAATAATAATAGCTCCCGTATATAGCGTTTGACGCCTTGGGAGTAGCAAGGTACAGCTTGCTATACTAGAGCCGTTCGGTATACAAGGAAGGTAATGTGGCTAGCACTACGCTTCAACCGCCTATTAACTTTAAGCTATTCACAGGATTGTGAATCCCAAGTACTCATTTAAGGCTGAGTCGACCTAGGTACCCAAACTATTTTTATTTTAATAAAAATAGTCGACTGATGAAATGCCGGGTGTGGGAATCGGACCCACACCTTGAGATTGGTAGACGAGAGCCTGTACCTCTACGCTACCAGGCACCTAGACGATTGGATACCATTCCTAATCACATCAATTCTAAAAAAGACTCCATCCGATTTACGATTGAGAAAGACAAATACTTCTGTCTACCGTCTCTGGATGTTCTTGTAAGAAGTTAGAGATCATAAAAAACATACCTACGCAATGAGGTAAAACAATCAGTCAGTAATGCAGACAATATTATGTGATCCAAGGCAGTAGAACATAAAGTGATCAGAAAATCTAATTATGCCCAAGAAGGGGAGAAAAAAGCAGGGAAGAAAACTCATTGGAAAATGAGTAAATTTAAAGAAGCCGTTTTTATATCAAACAATAAAAATTTCCATAATATGACAACCACTTATAAAACGTACCAATGACGACCTTGAAAAAAAATTAAAGGGTGATATACCGGGTGTGTCTCAGAAGTGGCTCACCCCCTATAACTTTTTTAATTTTTCAGATAAAAAAAAACGAGATTTGGCATGTTAGTATATGACATAAATTAGGATTAATTGACGGATCCAATTGTTTTCGGTCACTTCCTGTTTTACCGGAAATAGCTACAACTTTTGATTTTTAAATGGCACCCTAGGTATTCTTCTACTTTATTCGATAGAAAATGACACTCTGAATCGAATGACATATCATATGTCAACTTTTGACATATTCGCTCAAAAACAAATTGCGTTTTAAATTTCAATCTAGAGTGCCATGGGGCTGAGTTAAAAACACTAATTTTTAATCAAGGAGCCTTGGAAAAATAGATTTGATCGTCTAATGTTTTTAGTGTCTTGTCCTGGTCGGTTCAAAGATGCCCAAATCGAATTTTTAATCATATCTCAATTTTTTCAAGCGGAACAAGGGTGGCTCATTAGCATATGTGGAAAAAGTATTTTTTTACGAATAATTTGATACCACTCACTTGGTATTTCGAGTCAAATTTTTGTTATGAACCGCATGTTATAATTTCAAATAAACCATATAAGAAAATGTCAAAAGTTGACATATTATATGTCATTCTATTCAGAGCGTCATTTTCTATCGAATAAAGTAAAAAAATACCGAGGGTGCCATTTAAAAATGAAGTGACCGAAAACACTAGAATATGTCAATCAATCCTAATTTATGTCATATACTAAAATACCAAATTACGTTTTATCTGAAAAAATAAAAAAGTTATAGGGGTGAACCACTTTTAAGGAGCACTGCACTCGGTATGGTTTGTAAAATAACGCAACGTATATTGTTAGTCTATACACAGGGTGTCTTAAGTAAGTGCAAATATTTTCAAGGCTGGTATATTTTAATTCCAGGAACACGCCTATGAGGTTTTTGGCAAAAAAATGCTGAAAATCATACATTTCTTTTTAATTTTTCTGTATATTTCAGAAAACTTTTTAGAACGGCTGTTCACAGCAAATTTTCCCAAGGCATAATTTGTTAATCTCTGATAATATTACCATGGTTACGGCACAAAAGGGACGCAAATACAGAAACAATCCGGTGGCTCTCATTTTTTTTAAATAATTTTTTTTTAATTTTCAAACTCGAATAAATCGGTTATTTTGGACTTATTTGAAAAACGCTAAAGAGAAATTATGACAGTTAAAACGTTATGTCGCTCATTTGCGACAAAAATGACATAAGCCCAAATTGTTTTTTTTCGACGACATACAGTCTGCTGTTTTAAAAATGGCACGAACCTAATGACATTTTAAACACGGAGAACTATTTATGAATAACACACATTGACTACGTTGACTACTGTAACATTAGAACAGTCAATCGCTGTTTCCCCTAAAGTGAGCTTTTTGGAGATATGTTGTCCTTGTCGCAAATGAGCGATGTGCAGAAAAAGTTAAGACGTACGACAGTCCTGAATAGCCCTTAATTTTCTAGGTTTTCTTTTTACCTGACAACCAAAACTGGCAGGTAAAATGTTACGTATAGCCAGGGCTTTACCTACGAAAAATAAATATAAAACGTTAGAAAAGAAAAACAGTTAAATTTTAGTGGAATCTCGGTAAATTTTAAGGTTTGATTAGACACGGTAATGTCTCGATTTAGCGTCCATTACGGATTTGTGGCCTATTAAAGCTTTTTCCTTAAACGGTCCATAATTATCGTTATTACCGGCGTTAATTACCGAACGAGAAAACCACTGCGGCCTTTTCTTAGAACCGTCGCGCGCCAATTAATTAGTTCCAATCGTCCGTAGGTCGTTATTTCGTGTATACCATTTTCAAGCAAAATACCACAGTAATATGCAGATATTCGGCATAAGGGTCATTCCGCTCTAACTGTAATTTTTTATGTCCTGTACCTACAGTGTTAGGAAATTTTGAGTAACACGATTAAAGCTTCATTCAGAAATTTATTATTGGAGGAACAAATTGGTGTTTTAAATTAGCGTATATATGTAAGGGTGTTCCTCTAATTTCAAGGTAAGCATTCAGAACGTCAAAATTAGTGGTAATAATTTTCAATTGTTAAGCTTCATTTAGTACCTCGCAATTAATAGAATAAATTAGTGGTTTCAATTACACTTTATACTTTTTAGTTTACGATCATTAACAATGTCTAAAAAACACAATTAAAATTAATAGAATATCCTAGCAACATCTTCCAGTAGTCAGTTGTATCTTGTATCTATAGAGAAAGCCTAATATTTAGTTTATAACAACTTTTTTTTGAGTTTTTTTCGAAATACCCATAGGCCTTTTTTGAAGAGAATTCGCCACAGTGGTATCAGTGACGGATACAGAGGGGGGGGCCCATGGGGCCCGGGCCCCCCCTAAAATCTGTGAATTGGGTTAAATATTAGGCTTTTGGGTTAAAAATAGCGCCCAAAAAAGCATATTCTACATTACTTTTTATTTGGCCCCCCCCTAAAATATATTCCTGTATCCGCCCCTGAGTGGCATACACATTTTTTAAAAGTTTAGTGTTCCTTACTTGCTTATTTTGCCTCTATACTCTGTGTCTTAAAACCTTTTCTTATAACATGTCTAGAATGTTGTATCCAATAAAATGTAGTTTTATTTTAACAACAATACCTAATCGCGGAATTTACATTGGGAAAAACAATAACAGATAAAATTTGGTAAATTAAGGGCGGTATTACTGTTTTCAAAAAATATACCGCCGGTATATTTGTGAAAAAAAAATACCGCCGGTATATACTTGAAAAACTTTCGGCTTTTTTTTTCGGCGGTATTCATGTTTATAAATATATAAAACCGTATAACTGCGATCTTCCTTTCACCAATTGCTTATACCGCCGGCAGTAATTTAGCTAGTTTAATTAAAAAAATAATCAAAAAGCACAAGTTTCACCCATAAGACCAGAATCGCCCATAAACGTCACACACGCAACCACACCAAAGGTGAAGGAGTGGCGGGGGGCGATGGGTGATGCGAAGGCGGTCGGGACGCCGGCGACGGCCGCCGCGACGCTCACTTCGACGCCGCCACGAGAGCGCGAAGAACGACGCTGCAACACGACGCTCGATTCGAAAAGTTGGCGCGCAAATTACGAAAACCGCACTGGTTGTCGAAAACTTTAATCAAAGTCATGATGCTGATGTTGTATTTCGTTGTTTTGGGTTTGAATGTCGGTAAGTGTTTAATTTTAAGTATGTCATTTTTTTTAATTTATACAGTATGTTCCCGGATTGTCTTTACAAGAGGAAAAACTTTTTTATTGTTGGCTCTTTGAGGAAAATGCATTCTTTATAAAAAAATTATTCTAAGCTAGTTAATCCTGTTTATGCTTTTAGCTCGGCTCTTAGAATTTTCTATATCGTTTTAGAGAAAATTAAAGAAAACATAAAAATATTAAAAAATGTCTATACCTATGTGGCGGGTTCATCTTTCCAAAAAAATCCTATATGGGTATTTCGCCACTGCACTGCAACAAAAAAAAATAACGCTAAAATTATAATGAAAGAAGCGATAGCCACTAAAAGAAAAATAAAAGAGGCTTTTTTAATTCAATCTAATAAAAATAAATGTATTGCTCATGTATCTGTAGATGTTAGTAATGTATTGCAATCGCTTCTTTGATTTTAAAGAACATAACATAAATAAACATAACATACGTAAAATTTAGAAATAATCATACAGAAAGTTTGGGTTTTTTTGGTTTTACCTTATTAAGTAATTGTAAAAGGTAGTAATTGTTAATTTTGAAGTTGAACTTGATATAATATCATTTTAACAGAACGTCAACGGTTTCTTGTAGACGTACCTGTTTTAAAAAAGTAAAGTGTTCTCGAATAGTTGAATTTAAATATTTTAAATAATTTTTTCTTTATTCTTTGTATTTTCTTTTGCTTCCGACGACGGAAAGAGATAAACTTTCCGAAACGGTAAGCATTTTTTTCTTTGTTAGGCAAATTTGTATAACTACTGTAAACATAACTTCTGACAAGTAGTGTCCCTTTGGCTTTAGTGTTTACAAAAAATAACTATTTTATTTTGTAGATTTTCTTGCAATGCAGTGGCGAAATACCCATATAGGATTTTTTTAGAGACATAAAAATATTGTTTAAAAATATTATTCTTTTGTAATATAATTTTCATTTCATTCTTTGATAGATGGTTATTATTAATTTTGATTAATGTAATATTTTTGCTGTTGTTAAAGTATCACATTCCGATAACTAACGTTTAACGTTATTTTAAAACAACTTTTTTATTTTTTGTCATGGCAACTATGATGTTATAGCGTAATTGTATTAAAAATATGGATAAAAATTGCAAAAATCGGAATAAATCGCTAACTATTAAAAATAGGTATATGACGTACTTAACAAAAGTTGAAGAGTTTTGTAAAATCTGTCAGAAAAAATAATAACATATAGGGTTTAAAAATTTTAAATTTTTTTAATTTTAAATAATCGAAATTTGTAAATATATTTAGAACACTCTGTAACATCTAACTCACATATCTTGACATATATCCCTTTCTTCATGTCTATACATGTCTATAAAATTATCATACCAAATGTTAGTACTTCAACTTCAGAAACAATAGCATAACTGACAATTTTTTATGACACTGAAATCTAACATTTGTTTAAGCAAATTAAAATATTACAAAAGCTATTAATTTTAGGTATATAACATTATATATTTTACGCAGAATCCAAAAATAAAATGAAAAAACATATGTTGTATCCGCCACACTTTTTTGAAGCACTCTGTATACTCTGTAATAATTTTAAAATGTGCATCTTGACCTTCCCTATAACTTTTCTATTTAACATTTTTAATAAATCTCAAAACAAATGAAATAATGGACTTTACTCTATCGTTGACTCACCCTGTACATTCTTTCATGGGACACAGTGTATGTGGGAGTTACTTTAAGCTTCTGGGAATATGGCTACAAAATTTAACCGCCGAAAATCAAACTTCTGAAACTGAAAGTTCTAGAAACTGAATCTCAAAGTTCGAAGTCCATAGAAACAAATTTATCAGAAGCTCTTGGTTTGGTGATTCCTCTGAGATTTCAATGGTCTAAAGATAAATAATAATTTACGCAATTGTTGTTTATTTACATCTTAATGAAAATATTGTTACATGTATGCCGAAAATTAGTATGTATTAGTTTTTAAAAAGACAGCTTTGCAGGTCATAGGTTAATACAAGTTCTTTCTTTATATAATTGTCTTAAATTTATCTAAAACTATCAAAAACGAGTGCCTACTATTGAAACAGATAATAGAAAATTCGGTGTACTCTTTTATTTACTTCCCAAAACACAATACCATTCAATTGAAAATGCATTAGGTTTCTTTATGTTTCTCTTGCATTTTGTTGTGCCTTGCACAATGTTTTCCTAAGTAAATAACTAGCAACGAACCACCCTAACCTTTTACAATCACACTAAAGTGCATATGTTTATTACCTAGCCATAGCTTCCCACTCGTTTCAACTAGGAAGAAAAACATTGTTTTTTTAATAATTTACCATGAATTGATGGCTATTGGTGCTGTTTAATTGAATTGATTCGTTAAATAGTCTCTTCCAATTATCAGATAAAAGATCACAGTAAATGTATGTCCTGAATTGTGTTTTATTTTTATAATTAAATAATATTAATTAGAAATATTCAATGCAAATATTATTAGAGGTGATATATTTCGATTCCAGAAAAACCTCTTCTATTTTTTGAAAAAAAAATGTTTAGTTAAAAACATAATATCTTGATAAATATGGCAACATAGTAGATTAAATTTAGAAGAAAGAAAACCCAGAAAAAATTCTGTGGTTCTCACAATTTAAGCAAAAATTTATATTTTTTTTAGTTTTCCTAGTAAAATAACTCGATTATTTTGGACTTATTTGAAACATGAAAAGAGAAAATATGTTTCTTTTATCAGCCCTAAAAATATTTTCACTTATTTAAAATTCACCCTGTATAGTAATTGTCTGTAATGATCATGTTTTCAAAAAAGTTTTAAAAATATTTAAATCAAAACTATTAAAATTATTATTAAGATTGTATACCATTTTTTATAACTGCAGGCGGATATTTAATAATTTCACAGTCACTAGGTTTATTATATAGAAATTAAAGAAAAATTTATTTAAAAAAAACTTATCAAAAATTTATAATAATCATAATACTGATGTCTACGATACATCTTTCTTTATAATTTGCTTATTATCTTTTCACTCTAGATAATGTTTTAGTTCTATTTAGGAAAATATTGTTACTTGTACGAGCTGCATCAAAAAAGAGTTAGTTGGTGAGGGTTTGATTTTATAAAGGACCATCCTGTATATTATTCTATTTTTTGTTTACTTTTTGATCACTTTATAAAATCCTTGGTTCTTATTAAATTTGTTTTAAGAGTTTCGCTAAGAAACAAATTAATAATTAATAAACACACATATTCTACATTTTTTAAAAATGTAGAACACATATTCTACATTTTTTAAAAATTAATAAAATTTACAAATTGAACTAACTTTACAAATAAATTACAAAATATAAACAATAACGTTCGGTGTTTACTACAGTTGGTCTGTACTTATTTTGTTACAAATATCATAATCGTAAAATGTACAGTGTGTTCAAACCCTAATATTAAATTTGTTAAATATAAAGTAACTTTCCTTGTTTTTTTTAAATGGAACGCCTTGTATATTATTTTTCAAGGTGTGTTCTTTTAATGCTAAACTTGTAATTAATCATTCCTGTCTTTCTCAAAAGCTAATAAAAAGTTATTGAGATCAATAGAAAAACAAACTATTGAGAAAAGATACACCTTGATGATAAAATTGTTGTTAAATTTCTTACTATGGTTAAATCATTCCACAGGGTGTTCTAAACTTTCGCCAAAATATCATTTTGTTTCCCCTCCTATAATAGACAGATATGAACTAAAACCGGCCAATTGGCCAATAAGCGCCATTAAAAAAAATACAGGCTAAGTAATGACGCATAAAGCAGGGCGCCCATTGAATCGGATCGGATCGGCACGGCATCGCTCAGTTCGGAAACGTCCAACACCCGCTCACCAAATCGGTATGCTTCAGTTTATCAGTCGAAATATAATTTTTGTGGCGTGTAGTTTATTTTAGTTCGGATTAGAATTTAATAACCAATACTTAATAATTTATATAATATGAGCTCTTCATCTTCTTCTTCCCAAGCATTTTCCTTTCGTGAACTGTCATGATAATATTTACTAGCTTGATCATGGAGGTGTGGATATTCTCTAACAGTATCAATTAAAAGTTCTTCATCCATTGTAAACAATAAATAGCACACAAAATAATCAACTACAAGGTAGTACACGCACTGTTTACATCAAACACAACGAGAAAACTGATCGGACCTTCGGAATTTTTTGCCCTCTCTACCAAAAAAGACCGATTCCCAAGCCAACCGATGAACGTTGCCGAGCGGGACTGAAGCAGTGCGCGGATGTCAATCTATTTCTACGTATTTCAAATCATTCCGACAGGACTGTTCCGTGCCGATCCGATCCGATCCGATTCAATGAGCGCCCTACTTAAGGCTTGACTTCGCTAAAATTATCATCGATTGTCATTCCCCTCCTTCTTTGACACCGTTTTTTTTGGATCAAATATACGATTGATAACAAAATTTTGACATTAAATTTACGTGACATTTCTTAATATTATATAAAATAGTAATAACGAGAATAATAATTAAAATAACAACTATACCAAAATAAAAGTATTATTTCTATGACGATTATAGTGTTTACATAAAATTCAGTAATGACAATTATGACGTATAGCGTAACTGGGTCTCGTTAAAGCCCTCAATTACACCGGTACAACGTTTTATCTAAATATTGTAAATAGATTGATTATGAGCGGCAGCTTTTATCGCATCGCATCACATTTTATCATCTCGGTGCCCGATAAACCCCCGCTGCACTTATCTATACGATTAATTTTCCAAAACAATACCTTGTTATTCGGTACATGTATTTAGTTCTCGTAATCGTATTCAGTTATCTGGTTATAATTATTGCAAAATTATAATTTCCTGGAAACATTTATAATAACCTATTTATATATAAATTACTGCAAAAATTCTTAGTTTACTACATGATTTTTTTATTATTTT